CCTGAGCTACACGGGGCGCACACTGGCAATAATATTGCCGCTGCAGCAACAACAATATTCGGCTATTTGGCGTTGACAACGCGAGGGTTGGGTACTTTGTGCTTGACAACGCAAGTAACAATGATACTGCAGTTGAGTCCTTAGCAGAGGAGTTTGGCTTTATCGCAAGCGAGCGGCGGCTGCGGTGCTGCTGCCATATACTCAACCTAAGCGCACAATTAGTAATTTGGGGCAAAGACCGTAGCGCGTACGAGAATGAAGCCGCACACCTTGAGGAAGAGGAGAAGTACATGGATGAGTGGCGCAAATACGGTCCTGTTGGCGTCCTCTTTGACGTGATTGCGTCTATCTGTACGCCTCAAACTCGACAACTACTAGAGCGCCTACAGTGCGAGGAGGCAGAGTCTCTAGGTGTTACACCCCACATCCGGCAGCTTGTGAAGCCTGTTAAGACACGCTGGAATAGCTATTTCAACACGTTTGTCCGTGCAGCTGAGCTACACGGCCCTATCGATGGCTATATTGAGTGTAAACTTGAGGAGCATAGTGCTGCAACAGCAACCTCACGACGCCGGAAGAATCGTGAGCAGCTCCCTGCTGCCCAGCCACGGTTATATATACGCGAAGGGGGTCTAAGCGGCAAGGACTAGGCGACAATAACAGAATACATTCGACTCCTTGAGCCATTTGCCGAAGCTACACGGCTACTTAAAGGTCGCGGCCGACACGGCCGACACGGCGCTATATAGGAAGTTCTAGTAACGTTTGAGTAGCTTCTTAACCAGCTTAAGGCTCTCAAAGACCGCCTTAAGGATGTAAATTACGAAGATCTAGATGCGCCTGAAGATCATCTTATTACAAACGTTAACCTTGCACATTGTAAGCTTGCTAAGTACTACGCAAAATTCGATAACGCGCCTGTCTACTACACTGCTACAATACTACACCCGCACTACAAACACCACCTCTCAGCGCTCTGGAAGGTGCCTGACACCCATGTCACTGCCCGTGACGGTGTCCACTATCGCGACGGCTGGCTTGACAATAACCACCGGGCATTCCTGCGTATGTGGCAGGGGCGGAAGGACTCTGCAGCCACTTCAGCTCACACTGTAACGCCGCCGCGTAAGAAGCCCCGGCTAGGGATTTCAACGTCGCGATCAGCTTTTCTACAGTCGTCAATTGAGCAAAGCACACGGCAGTTAGAGGCAAGCCTTGCTGAGGATGAGTATGAGATATGGAAGCGGCAACCAGCGTTAGCTGAGGAGGATTGGCTGTCTCTTAATCCGCTTCTATACTGGGAGTCAGTTGCTGGGCAGTTCCCTATACTCTCAAAGTTCGCTATTGACGTCCTAACAATACCAGCAGCAGCGGCAGACTGTGAGCGGACTTTCAGCGAGCTTGGCGACATGTTAGGCACCCGGAGACTCCATATGAAGCCAGAGCTTATTTCAGCTTTGCAGAGCTTGAAGAGCTGGAAGAGGCTTGATATACAGCCAACAACTACCTCAGCTTCTGGGCTAGCGCGCACACTATCAGAGGAAGAAATCTCAAAAGTACAGGAGCATTTATCTCAGTTCGACGTCAGGTAACTCAGTTCAGTCAGTCCAGTCAGTCCGCAGGCCGCGGCGACGTCAGTTCAGTCAGTCAGTTTTAGTTTAATTGAAAAGTCTTGGCAGTCAGTCCAGTCCAGTCAGTGATCGGAATGGTCTGGTCTGGTCTGGTCTGAGGGTACAGACCAGACCAGACCAGGTGCTTACATAAGGACCGGTCCGACCAGACCGGTCCGACCAACAAGACCGCCAAGAATGAGGCTGAAGCAAAGAAGGAAGCCGAGGAAATGTGTTTTACTACTGACTGTCAATCTAGTCGTCTTCGTTCTCACTATCCTCGATATCGCTGTTCCCCTCAGCTTGGGGGCTTTCCATACCAGGCCCGGAGACACTCGCACGCTTCTATAATATCTGCCTTCAGCCTACCACGGCGATCGACGATAGTAAGCTTCGCGCTACTAAAAAGACGTTCGCATTCATCCGACATAGGCGAGATCGCAAACATGTCTAGAGCGAAGCGAGCGAGATCTCGTTGGGAGTCGTAGCGAGATAGCCAGTACGCAATAGCCTCATTGCAACCTGCCTCTTCGTTATGAAGCCGGTCAGTAGAGATGTATTGTTCATACAAATCAGTTGTAGAAACTGGAGCGTCTATTCGAATGCGCTTATGTTCCCGCTGGCGATCAAATGCTGGGTCAGGATCTCTCTCCTTCCTGGCTGGTGGTGGCAGCATCTCGACAGGGTACCTTCCCTTATACTCTGTCTCCCAGAGATGCTTCACCGCTAATTGTGCGTTTTCAAACCACCTCTTCTTCTCTTCGTCGCCATGAAGAACCCACTCTTGCCTGAACCATCCCCACTTGCGATATGGATCAAGGATTTGAGCCGCATAATATGCCGGTGGAAGGTCAGTATCTTCAGGGAATCGATTTTGCCAATTCAGCTGCTGATTGTTATAGTACTCAACGCACTTTAACCAAGCAGCATCAGCGCAGCCTTGAAGGTACTTCCATGTAAAGTTGTTATCGTCCTCAGTGTGGATGTCGTGGTAGTGATCCTTCGTCTCGCTTATCTCCCGGAGAAGGCAGTCCAAAGTTGAAAACCAGTCCGCAAGTGACGTCTTCTTACCTTCAGAAAGCAAAGTTGCAGCATAGAAGTCTT